AAACTACTTTGTATACACGATTTTGGTTAAAAAGTAAACTATATATATATATAGATATATATATTATTTGGAATAATTTAGGTATTTAAAATTCATTGATATTTGATACTCTTTTTACTTTAACGTCTACAAACACATTATTTTTGATACCCCTTTTACTTTAACGTCTACAAACACATTATTTTTGATACCCTTTTTACTTTAACGTCTGCAAACACATGATTTTTTGATACCCTTTTCACTTTAACGTCTGCAAACACAAATCACTTCGGTTTTTGTTGCCAGCTTAGGAGGTGACATTGCCATATCATAAGGGGGAAATAACTTCTTTAAAAGTTATCAAGACAAACATAACGATAAATTACGTTGTATAAGGAGTTGTTTTCCCTATAGCAGTCTTATTAAGAGTGTTAAATTGATAAGATAGAATCCAGTAATCAGTCTTCAGACCTACATTGAGTAACATGAGTGTTAAATTGGTTAAAAATTATAAGTTTTCAAAACACCTGGTAACGAGAGAAAAGCCCCCGGGTAAATTTGAGGGCTCATATCGCTAAAATTCGGGTTTGATACCTGCGGGTGGATACGACGCAGATAGCCCGTCGCGGCTTTGCGATTATCAACAAACAAATAAGAAAAAATTAGTAGAGTTTTGTACTTTTCGTCTCTTTTTTTTTGTTTTTCAGGTGATTTTGTGACAAAAATAGCTAAGAATCAAACTGAAAGTCAATAACTGGTGATTTCATTAAAAATGCGTTAACCGTTTCGAATGCGGAATAAAATAAAGATAGCAGTGTTAAACACTTCGTTCATTTTATGGTTTTTAAGTGAAATTATTCGAATGGCAATTCTGGCATTGGATGATTAGTGGTAAATATCTCGTGTTAGAATCGTACGAAGCTTTTTACTCGAAAGTAGCGTACAAACCTTGCCAAACCGTTTCTACGTAAAACCGTTTTAAAGACCCATTTATCTATTTCCTTCTAAATTCCAGCTTCGGGAAGTTAGAAAAGTTGCGTTAGAAGTTATTAACAAATTAAATATTCGGGATGTTATATATCATGTGATCTTTATATTTCATTGGCACGTGTGTTGAATAGTTGATGAGTTCTTATATACACAGGATAGAAAAAAAACCCGTGTATTCATATGTTGTTGCTCGGTTCTATAAAAGTACACTTGATCAAGGTTGTCGACTACACATACACACACCTGTACCGTTGTACTCACGTGCTTGATCGTTGCAAAAGATAGCGAGACGCTTATTTGTTAGAAACGCGTTTTGTAACACCATTTCTTATTGGCTGCTAGACAAGCCGAGAGGAATGTGGATTGAATTCTGCCAGATCACCTTCAGCTTCACCAGGGAATGTAGCAGCTACATTGTAGAGAAGAATAAATGTAAGCTTTGTCGCTAGGACAGCCGTCGCTAAGATTCCATGAAACTCACACAGAAAACTGTAAGTATACATTCGTCGTTTCCCTACATATCTGCTCTTCTGCTATATTTTTGTATTTTTTATAATTCGCTGTAAACGTTTGAAATTGTAAAAAACTGCCAATGATACGGTAATTTCATACCGATTTTACAGAAATCCAAGGAAGGCTTCAAACGTAATTATCAAGGTAGGCTTTTTCGTGTGAGAATTAAGATGGCGTTTGTTAAAAGTAAAATAGCTTGATTTTTACACTGGACAAATGTTGACTGGACAACATTTGTCCCAACGGGAATCTCCGCTGAGATTCGTGCGTAATGATATAAGAGAAGCAGAGGCGGTGCACGGGCACTGGCACATGGGGCCCGTGCCCCGAATCCGCCGTTGGTGTCTTGATAAATCGGAATAGAAAACCATGATAGATATCCTACTGAAACGCCGAAAATTTCCACGCCTATGGGCCCGAGCCCAGAGTTTTTTAAGTACCTAACGACTCCGCTGACGAGAATCACATTAGCTGACTTAGAAACTTAGTAAACTAGGTTCAACACGAGCTACTGATAAATGTTTCCTTAGTAAAGATTCACATTTAAAGATTGAAGAGATAAATTACATTGTAATAACAGTCTAGCATTCGAATGTATATAGAAGATGTCAGTACTCTCTTAAGCTGTGAGACGTGATCGAGTCGCTTTGAATAGAATGTTTGCAAAAGTAATTAAAAACACAAATCACTGTCGGATATGAACCGAAATGAAGAAAATCCCACTTTGATTATTAGTATTGTAGTAATACTTGTTTATGTGCAATGTTAATACATTTGTGTATAATTAATTTGGAACAAAACCAATATGTTATTTATCTACTTATCAAATAATACCAGCAGTTGTGACGTTCATTGTTCAAATTATTGAAGGAAGAAAGACGTGGATTGGGCTCATTTGGAGTAGGATTCGAATCCGTGTGATACCACAAAATATTCCCTCTAGTTTAAGTTATTGGTACGTTGTAAGAGTGACAGTCAATTCCTTCGTGTTAATGGTAAGTAGTAGGGAGGCAGTTGAAAATTATGAACGGTGGCACATAGCTTCATTAGCTTTGCCATAAATAACAAATACAAAATGCTGAATGGATACTACTCATCTTCTCAAATGTGTTACGCTCTGTTTAGGTACCACTTGGTCATTGTATCTACGCCATTTTCTGCTTTCTATAGGTTGGTTTTAATAATTCTTGTACATATTAGGTTAATTTATCACCGGCAAACGTTCTTTGAAGTTGTGACTAAATATCTGTTATAATTAAAGAGGAATCAATAATAGGGACAACAAGAAAACAAAGTAATTTAATTTTTGCATTTTGCGCAAAGCTTCTCGAGGGCTATGTGAGCTATTCGTCCCAAATTTGGAAGTAATAGCCCAGAAAGAAGACAGCTAGTCAACACCACACCGCTCTTTTACCAACGAAGAGTAGGATTGACCGGCACATTATAACGCCCCCAAGGCTGAAAGGGCAAGCATGTTCGGTGAAGGGTTTCGATCCCACGACCCGCAAATTGTAAAGTTTGTAAATTGAAAATACTTTGATGTGTATTTAAGTTATTATTATACCGGATGTCGAATCAAGAATAGTTAAAGTAATTGAAATACTTTGGTTGATAAACATGGTTAATGCGAAAATCCACGTTTGCATTCTGGTTTTTCTGATTGATTGGACGTGTTTTGCTACCTTTATGTTTAGGTACATATTGAAAATATCTAGACATAAGACTCATTAATTTGCTGGAAATACAAGTTTCACGCTTTTGTCGGCCGTTTTACGTAATACGGATCAAAGTATAACTACTGTAGGCCCGGCATGGCCAGGTGGTTAGGGCGCTCGACTCGCAATCTGCGGGTCGCGGGTTCGAATCCTCGTCACCACAAATATGCTCGTCCTTTCAGCCGTGCGGGCGTTATAATGTGACGGTCAATCCCACTATTCGTTGGTAAAAGAGTAGCCCAAGAGTTGGCGGTGGGTGGTGATGACTAGCTGCCTTCCCTCTAGTCTTACACTGCTAAATTAGGGACGGCTAGCGCAGATAGCCCTCGTGTAGCTTAGCTCGAAATTCAAAACAAACAAACAAACAAACAATAACTACTGTGTATGCACGTGTAGCATTATAGATATATTTTTCCTTTGTTAAAAGGTTTACACTCCTCAAATTAATCTATTATCATTGGCGAGCTATCCTAACCCGGCAATAACTAATTGTCTATGGATTGCTGAAGATCTAAGAACGACGTTTAGATTTGCTTTAGCGAAACAAATATTTATCCTCAAATGTGCTCCAGAAATTCCTGATGAAGAGCTTCAAAACCATTTTCAAGGTATGAAAATCCTCCACTATATTGTAAGTAATAACTGCGTTCGGTTCGAAACTTATCGTAATACAGCCGACAGATTTAATAACGAATTATATTTCTTCTTAGAAATAAATCCTGCATAAACATAATTTTCCTCATACACATAGAAATCAATTAGAACAGAAATGCGCTTGTTTTTTATCATGCTAGAACTTTCTAATTGGTAGCATTTAAGTAGTGAAACAGCAAGGTTTATTTTATTTACCTCACTTTAAAAAACCGTTTTTTTATAAGAATCTCACACAGTTAAATTGTCGGAATCGTAGCTATTTAACAAATGTTATTAAAAAATCCTCAGTTCCCTTTTTTCTTTTGCATCTACCGTGTGTGTGTAAAAAGACGAAAAAATAATAAAATAATACAAGCTCCGTTATTATAAAAATTGTATAGAACGTTTGAAATTACCCAATTATACTTTTATTACAACTAAAAACAAAAGGCAGTGTAACTTTACGTGTTTCGAGACTTATGGTGACGATGACGTAAATGTTATTCCGCCGAGACATTTAAAGTTTTACAACCTTTTTAAGTTGTAATAAATTTATAATTGGGCAATTTGATGTGTTTCGTAGGAGTTGTGCATAATGTGCTATATTTCAAAGTAAGCCCCGAAATGTTTCGGTTATATATTTCAGAGTTACTGATCAAGGTGAATTTTAACATCCTGAACGCCTCCCGGTGGGTCAGCGGTACGTTTACGGACTTAAAACGCTAAAATCGGGGCTAGATAATAGCGACAGCAAAAAAAAAAACAACATATTTTATTTACTTATTTATTTTTTTGCATTTCGCGCAAAGCTTCTCGAGGGCTATGTGAGCTATTCGTCTCAAATTTTGAAGTAATAGCCCAGAAAGAAGGCAGCTAGTCAATAACACCACTCTTTTACCAACGAAGAGTGGATTGATTGCCACATTAACGCCCCCATGGCTGAAAGGGCAAGCATGTTCGGTGAAGGGGCTATAAGACTATTGTTATTTTTGGTGCTCCTCTGCTGTGAACAAAATTAGTTTTTACAATACTTTTGTTTTCGCACATTTTGTATAGATTAGAACATATACTTAGAATAACAAGTCATTCCTGTCTTTAATAAAACAAGTCAAACGGCTATATACATCTACAACATATTAAAATATTTCAAGATAACAATACGATATTGTTAACTGAAACGCCTTTATTTCTTAACGTATACTGTCGTTAAGAATACTAATACTGAAAATGCCTCACAAGAAATAATACAGTTTCATCTTCATCTTTCGTTTTGGGCTAACTCACGTTTTCTGAGAAAGAAACGATAATAATAATAACAATAAATTAATTTCAAAGGCAGTATGTTATGTTATGTTTTTAATTATGCACAAAGCTACACAAGGGCTATCTGTGCTCTGCCCACCACGGGTATCGAAACCCGGTTTCTAGCGTTGTAAGTCCGCAGACATACCGCTGTGCCACTGGGGGGCTCGAAGGCAGTAACTCTCCACATTACATTTTTTCTTGCTTTAGGCTAAATTATACGATTTTACCTCAGAGTTCAATCATTCAGACCCCCTTTACAAAGAAAAAACAAAACCGAGAAAGTGAATTTCCCATCATGCAATACTTTTAGATCTAGGTAACGGAATCGCGTTAAGTTAAGTAGAAAAATGCGAAGGTGATGAAATAAATTATAGACTTTTAGAGAAATATCACCTTTAAAAACTACCATAGTTTTTAAAGATGATTTCTTTTTAAAAGTCCAATTTCATTATATATACCTAGAGATTCATTATGAAAATACAATTAAAAACATCATGACTATAATACACAGTGAGAAGCCTAGTCATGATTTTTCGATTTGCTCTTGTCCAGGGTTACTGATGAAGGGTGGAATTCCCCCGAAACCGTATAACCCAATGACAAGCGGTGAATGGGATGATGGATCTGGCTTCTTCATATTTGTTTTCAATTCTACGTTTTATTAATGAATATACATATATTGTACTTCAAAGTGCAGTGTTGTGAAATATTATTTGAATATTTCGACATCACTAAAGTGCAGCCTTGGAATAAGAGGCTATGATAACACACTGAACCAGAATATAAAGCGGAATAAATTTATAATTTATTCAGGAATATTGGAAAAGGTCTTGAAGAAGGTTATCAGGCCTTTCTAATCCGCTTGTTGGCGAATTCTTAAGAAGAACGTACATTATCTATGAGCATATTTTCCACCTACAAACACAGTTACAGTATACTTGACATATACAGAGAACAGGATGGAATCAAGGCTTTGCAATTATTTCCTTTAGCATACGCTGAGAAAACATTGACTTATGTCAGGCAGGCAGTAGCATTGCCTACGTAGGGATGACTAGGATTGTTCATCGAAATAGTATTATAAATATCTCCTCAATAGGTCACCAGAACTTTACAATACTACATAATGTTTCCTTTTATAATAATATATATGTAATGACTGAGCCACAACTTCTGGGAATGTCTGCAAATATCATAGCAAAAGGTTTGATTAAGACCTTAGCACATAGGATCGCATAAAAAGTTTTAATGGTTTTTAAACGAGACTCAAAAATGGTTTGAAAACCATTACAACTTTTGTATGTGATCCTATGTGCTAAATTCTT